TTATCCTGTTTTATTTTTTACGTAAATATGCTTCTCCATGTAGGTATTCATTTTGGAAGACCTTCATTTAATCCCGGCAGAACCTGTTGATGTATTGCTCCATAGGCGGGCTTACACAACAGGGGTACCCATATCGTATGATGTAATGTATTTACATTGCATCGTAAATACCCCAGTGGTTTTCGTTTCACTCGATGTTGGTTTGAACTTAGTGGACTAAGTCACTCTTAACTACGCATGCATTTAAAACTATTTAAATAGCTGCGAATTTGCCAAAGACTTCTTATGGCATTCCATGACTCTATTGGAAAATTCGAAAAAGTGAAAAGCTGGTGAAGTAGTGCGGCAACACTGAAAAAGAGATTCATGACATAATGTTTATTACATTCAATGTAGTTTGAATGATTTGCACGTTACTTTATGATATAAAAAGGACGAAGGATAAGGCTCTCGGCGTTGATCAATCCCTGAAGGATGCGCCATGCATTCGATTTCATTACCCATCGTTGGAGGTGAATGAATGCATATCTCGCCCTTAAAATGACTCGCGGTGGCCTACTGATGTATCGAGCCAGCGCTGCTATCCTTCCAGACAGGTCTGGTACCAATTTGTCGATCTCGGAGGGATGGAAGGCTTGGTAAGCCATTGGATTCTTTAATGGAAGTTTGGTAGGCCATGGGCGGGGCGCAGGGGTCGATTCCACAAGAGTGTCGCAAGGCGTCTCCGACCATTGCGCCACTCGCGCTTACTTGTATAGGAGTCTTAAACGTCTTGGTCTGTGATATGGTTTCAGATTTCTTGTTTTCTTTGTCATTTTGCAAAGATAGTTGTTTAATGAAAACAGGCGGCGCAGTAGGTAGACATGCTCCACCGCCTCACTTCATCGTTGATGGAATTTGTCATTTTTTGTATATTAGAGATCGATAACTCTCAACGGTTTACCGTCTCATCGTAGAAGGGAGGTGTCTCTGGCTGTCTGGCTGCGATATACAGCGGGAAGACTCATCCTCCCAGCAGGTTCTTCCAAGCTGAGAAGGGGTCCGGTGTTTCTATCGAGAAGCCTAGCTGAGACTAAATTAATACCTGGATCCACCACTGTCCTGGTATCGAACTAGTTGCGTGGCGGCAAATCTCTGTCTGATCCGCAAGGGCGGCGACTGCCTACGGTGGCGACAACTCGGTCTAGACTTTGGCAATGCTGACCTCAGGACTTCGGAGAATCACAGTGCCTAAATCAGCAAAAGTCGGAAAAAAATGAAAATTCTGCTGGGCCCCTCACAACCAGTTAAGACGATCCGTACAAGTATCCAAGTAAGAGATCGATGAGTATGGAAATAATGTCGAGGCAGATATTCAAATCGGACTGTCCGTGTTAAAGGCAATCATAGGCTTAAAGCATGAGGCTCTTCATTTGTTCGGAATCCTGGAATCTGGGAATTTTTAGTGCTGGAGGATAGCCACGCCGATGTGGAGCGGGTGTAGTGAAATTGAGGAGTTGGACTATGTATGCGGTGCAACTGGGTTATACTGCTGCATTTTTCTGGCTGTGTCTTCCAATTTTGGCGATGTCCTTAAAAGAACACCACCTTTGGTAATCAAAGGCCTTAGCTGTATGTGGTGTAATTGGGGAATTTCGGAGGTGAGGTCTTCGTTCTTCTGCATTTGAACGATTCTGATCTCAGCACTGCTAATGGACGTTCTTTCGGCAAAGGGTCTCAGTGTTCTGTCGGTGGGTGCGAAGTTTGGGAGCAGTTTGAATATGCTGCTCATCAAGTGCGGAACATCCAATTTACGGCTTTGAGAATGGAATTCGATTTCTTCGTGAAAAATCCGACATCGTTCAACCATACAGTCATCTCCTTTCGTCAGCGCGTTTTCGACGACACTATAACTAATAATCACTATTGATAATGTCTACAGAGGTTGTCCCCTGTGCCACAGTGGACAGTCGCTATGTGCACACCGAATAGAACATCGGTCGTCCTAAGGTCATTAAAGAGTTGGGATGTAGAGTACTCGGCATTGTCGAGCACACCGAACATGGTGTGAAGTAAACTTTGTGGTGCAGTCTTGCCGTCGAACCCAAGATGAACTGAATTCTAAGTCACTTCAAGTTTGTACGAGTTTCTATGAAGTTTCTAACCGAATTTTCATAATCTCCATCTCATTTCAGCGACACAATGCATTGGCAGTACCGCTTGAGGGATTGAAGAACAAGACGGCAAACATTTCTATGTATTTCACAAATTTATTACGAAACAGCTTATTTGTTTAATAATAGTGAGCCTTCTGTCCAAATCATTTTAATGCATTTTTAAGGGGAATTGTTTTTAACCCAGTGGTTGTCCTAGCAACATTAGCAAAGTCTTTTTGTCCTCACGGTGAGCTGTCTTTGCTGAAGTACATAATCTATTAGCCACGCATTAATTCGATCAACCAATCAATCAATCGTACATCTAGACCGATATAAAATCTTTCGACTTCACATACCGTTTCATGTACTATCCCGACCCTTGAGTGAATTCATAGGTTTCATTTGATCCTCGTGAACACTAGGGTGCTCTAATATCTCCATTTTTGTGGCCTGGATTATCCTAGAGTTCGTGTTCTACATTTGCGTGAAAGTGTATCACTATTGCTTTAACTGACATCCGATTGCTTGGTTGATGTTGCAGTTTGTCCTTGCCCAGAATTTCTAGCGTTCCTCACTCTGGGCCAGCCTAGCCAACTGCCATCCATGCCTCGGAACCTCTGCTTAGGTGTCAAAGGTGGACAAGCGAAGGCTTCTAAAGCGCTTAGTTCACCTTTCGTATTAACGGATTAGGTTTTCCTCAACACGCTGGACCGTGCTAATCGTGGTTATTCCTAGTTTTGGAGTAGATATAAGGCCAGGTTGCGCAATGGAGTTAAACTAAGTGGACGTAGAACGTTATATTTTTTGTTAACAGTTCTATAGTGCTTTTTTAAGCTTCAGTGTATAAATGGCTCTTGTTCACCTCCTCTATCTTACCCACGAATCTGTTGGCTTCTATGATAAGCAAATTCGCACTCGTTTCGCTGAAATTCACTGAGAACACTGGGCGGCAAAAGCTCGTTTGAAGACGAAAGGCTGAGCACTACATTATACATCAGTAAGTTAGTGATCTGAAAACCATTATAGAAACATGCTAAGTGGTTTGATTAGATTGGGAGTATAGAAGTTTTATTTCATTAGAACATCCGCAAATTCTATGTAGAAAAAGGCTGTTTGACATCATCGTTTATCCCGCGACCGACTTTCTATTAACCTCGGCATTGATCAAGTGATTCTTCGTATTTTTGTTGAGCAAATGCGAGGTGTTATTATTCTTTATTCGCGAATAACCTGACGTTTCGGCGGATTTCGTCTTCCTCAGAGCCTGGAAAGGTCAAGTTGACAGCAATCCATCCGGCCAGACACCTCCATAACCAAACAGAGAAAATGCTGAACCAAAATTTCAATCACATTGAACACAGCTTTGCACACTCACCGCTTTCTATAAGGTTTCCACAAAGTATGTCGCGTGAAGACCACCCGCACAGAAATCACATGGAAGCATAATGTGCCCCTCCCATCAGAATAATAGTCTTATATACTGCCCTATATCACGCGTGATAAGGAGGCATTCTTCCCTGCGGTTCATGTTCGGATTTCTGGAATTAATCCAGAATGCCTCGAGAGTTTTGCGCGCTTGTGTTCTTGAATCGTGTGCGAGGATCGTGACACACACTTCAAAATCTTCTCCGTTATGTCTCTGCGTCCTATGCGTGCCTAGTGGAACAATTGGCTTACGTTTGCCGACTAGGTGTTCTTTTATACGTACACAGAGTGGTCTACCCGTTTCGCCAACGTATTCGTCACCTCACGCTTTACAAGAGATCAGATAGACTGAACCCGAACTCATGCAGTCGCCGTCTCTACCATTGGGACAATTTATGCAATTTTGAGTTGCACATAGACGGTCATATAGGCGGCTACGAACTAGCTGGCGCTTAAGATTACTCGGTGGTTTTTCAACTACGTTTACCGAATTCTCTAAACCCGCCCTTTTTAAGCAGCGTTTTATAGCTGTACTTACATCATTTGAGATGAAGGGTAGGATAAACGGGACCCTTCTCTCGTTAGAGTTGTCTTTTGGTTGGAGGCCTAGGATTTTCCCTACACCTATCCTGAACTACAGTTTCGTAGCCATTAGAAATGGCTATTTGCCGTGCCAAGTTTCGGGACTCCTCTCTTTGCTCTCTTCCCGTGCACACGTTGGCTGCTGTTCGAAACATGTTTCTTATAAGTGCCCTTTTCGTGTGAGAGGGGTGAGAGGAGAGGTAATGAACCAGGATGTTTTTACTACTTGGCTTTCGGCACCACTTTGTAATGTAGTTATTTTCTGATAGGTGAATTTATACGTTCAAAAATGGAAGCCATTTTTCTTTCGGCTTTTCTCGGGTGTACTTGATATACTCTGACTGTGCGTTTAGCAATTCGAAACATTTGTCCATTTCCTTTTGTGTTGAGCAAAGGACAAAACAGTCGTCTACATATCTACAGTAGAGTAGCGGCTCGAGATCAGTCACCGGTGCTTCCACCTTAGACATAAATGCAATGGCAAGGCTTGGAGCCAGTCGTTGTCCAATTGCCAACCCTCTTATTTGAGCGTAGTACTATAGAAAGGACAATAGCGCGTTCGTTACCCATCGCAGACACCTGTGGTCCGGAGTTTGGCAAGCTTCTCAGCATCATTGTGGTTTTTCTTTATATTTTATATCGATGCCACATTTAAAGCGTCTCGTTCAGTGCTTTTTTCCCTGAGCGGTCCCTCGTCACAGCGACACAACAGTCATTTCGAATTAACCTGTGCACCACAATCGGCTTTGCATATTCAAACTATCGTGACACGTGCGACGATTTCCACGAAAAACAGACTCATTGCTGCAATTTGTCGGCAACTGTCACTGTGATCGTCTTCTGCAAACGCCAACTGCGATGGCTAAGGTCGCCGACGGAGACATGACATCGGTCGCCGGCAGTGAAGGCGCTCCGAATACGGTGGGCTTTTCCTCGAACTCTCGTCGTCATATCATCGAACAGATATTTAGTTGCAGCATGAAAGTATACCGTTAATGTGGTTAGAATTTCAAAGCTTATGGTTCGTTCATATTTTCAGTTTTCTTTATTGTCGCTCATAAATCATGGTGTTTACAAGGAGTTTGTGAGGATATAAATAACTTTTTTTTGGAAAAGTGACTAGGATCCCAAAATAAAAAGTGACGGCACAGTTGAAGTTATTTACGGTTAAACGTGTTTTCCAAAAAGCTCTCTTGAGTTATTATCTCCAACTTTAAGACAATAGATAGCCTAAAATGATGTTTTGCTCAATGTATGGCCAAAAGGGGCTCGTATGGTGCGGTGGTCGAAGGCGCCCTGCTGCGCACACGTGAAATCCAATGGCCCATCAAGCTTTCCATCCCTTCGGGGTCGGTAAATTGGTATCAGAGTTGTATGGGAGCAGCGCTAGCTCAATACATCAGTAGGTCACCACGAGTCACTATAAAGGCCAGATATGTTTTCAATCACCTTCAAACGATGCTTAATGAAGTGGAATGCACGAAGCATCCCTTAGGGATTGATCAACGCTCAGAGCTTCATCCTTTATTTTTGTCTGTCCAAATTTCGCATTAATTAATTGCGAACGATTTTGTCTTGTTGGAGTTCTAAGTGATTGGCAGCATTCTGGATCTTGAGTTTCAAAAGAAAGGAGCAGATGTTTTAAGTAAAGAGAGTTTTTATGATATGTTCTGGGTGATTCTATGTTATCTTCATCGCTATGTGTTGTTTGCACTGTGATAGGAATGATTTTCTGCAGTTAGAGATGACTTTTATTCTTTTGGTTTAGTTGGTTCACTTGAATTTGGTGCAATTTAACGACTAGAGAAAGTGATATAGATTCAGTAAATCGTCAAAGATACTTGGTAATTTGGCAGTTTTAGGCCATAGATATGCTGTCTTCCATCAAATAACTTGTGACCCTCTTAACCATCCAGTAACCCATGCAGACACCAGCAAAGTTCTCATTTCTTCTAATCTCCTTTTGGTCCCAATAGTTGATTCTTATACAAACTTTCGCCTCCTGGAAACACCAAAGTGCTTTTTTTTCACAGCTCTGTTACGGGTATAGTTAGCACTGTGGTCTCATCATGCTGAGACGACAATGACGGTTAGATATGTAGGCAATCAAGGACAGGTGAATGACGAGTGCTAAAGTTACTATGAGTTTACAATTGAAAATGTCTATTTTCTTACAGGTTCCTTTGTTCTTCATTCTGCTCTGCACAATATGTATGGCCGTTCTTTACTCAAATATACTTACCTACCATTTAACTATCACGCAACTACACAGCTACGGTAACGGATCGATTGCGGACTGTAAGTTTGTCGAAATTGAGAGGAATAGTTCTTCCAGACTTCTTTCTGTAATCCAACGATTTCAGTCTATGACGAGTATGGTATTCGCGAGATAAACGACTCACGAGTGAAAATCACTATTCAAAAGCATCGATTTTTGTCAAATCCACAAAAAGAGGCACTCATCTCGGTGGCGCCGTTGGGCGGTCTCATCTCCTGGTTCCCGATCGCCGTTGCCTACAATCACATGGGATTCAGGTCGGCCTAAAATCACGAGGCTATGGAGTATACGTAAAGAGAACAGGTGTTTAAAGGTCTCTTGCTCGAATACTGTGGCTATAAGCGCCGCTTATGTTTCTGGATAGCGTTAACCTATGGCAAAACGTTGGCAAAAGACTTTCTGTTGGTTATACTCCAAAAAACAGTGCTGTTAATTGAAGAACCTTTAGAATATGGAATTTAAATGTAGTACAACAGATTCAGACAGATGGAAATCTTAACAGAATCTGGAAAGTCGAAGAAGATAATTGCATTCTTTTTCGGCAGTGACATGATGACGCTTGTACGTAGCGCAGTGGTTAAGTTGAAGATGTTCTGCTATACCGAAAGGATTTAATTTTCACCAAGGACCAACCAAGTCCACAACCTTCCGCGCTGAGAATTAGTACAACACTTGTCTGAAGGAATAACAACATTCATTTGTTACATTAGTAAGCCAGATATGCATTCAGTTAGTTCTAGGATGCCTATTAGAGTCAAATGTATGTCGCATCCCTCAGGTATTGATCAACTGCGAACTCTTCTTTCCTTCAATGTTCTTCCCCGTGAGCAAACAGGAGGTTGGTATTATAGCATTTAGTAGCAGACAAAAACTGACGTTTCGGCAGTTTCACCTTCATTAGAGCATGGAATGGTCAAGATGATATGCAATCTACTCAGCCGGACACTTTCATAACCTCAGCAGAGAAGACTTTTAACATATAAATTTCTATTCGCATAATAAACATTTTTTTAAACCTCCATGGTTCTGTTCTTTGCATGTATTCCAGTTATTTGGTGGACACCAGCCGCACAGAGGATTAAACACATGGGCTATGAATGTTTTTGGCTCAGGTAAAAGAAGTGGCCCTAGGTATGGCACCAGTTCACGTGTGGTCACAAGCGACTTCTCGCTGCTGTTCATTTTTGGATCTTTTAGATGTATCCGAAAACTTCAAGAGTTTTACGCTGCGATGTATTAGATTCCTATGCGAGGGTAGTGACTTTAACTTCAAAATTTTCTCCGTTGTGCTTCTGTGTCCTATGCGCACTTAGTGGAGTGTTTGGCTCCAATTTAAATTTACCGGTTAGGTGTTCTTTTAAATAAGCACAGAGTGGTCTACCCGTTTCACCAACGTATTGCCTCGTTCCTCAACCTACTGTCGGCACCGTTAGAGCATACTATTCAATTTCCCGTTATGCATAAACGGTTGTGTAGGCGGTTACGAACTAGCCGGCGTCTTAGAGTGTCCGGTGGCATTTCTATCACTCGTACGGAATTCTATAGACTGACCGCTCTTAAGCAACATTTTATGGCTGCACTTATTTCGCTGGAAATAAAGGGCAGGCCTATTGACACCTTATTATCTCTAGAATTACCGTTCAGCCCGTTGTTCTCCCTCTATGCCCATCGCGAACAGCCACAGTTTCATAGCTGGTCGAAATGGCTATTTGTCGAGCCAATTTCGAGGCTTCTTCTTTCTGCTCTCTTCCTGTGCACACACTACTGGCTGTTCAAAACATATTTCTTACAAGTGCCTTTTCGGCATTTGAGGGGTGAAAGCAGAGGTAATGAATCACTAAGTTTTTACTACTTGGTTTTCAGTACCACTTCGTTTGTTCTTCTGGTTTCTTTCTGGTAAATGTTATGCACCATTTGAAGCTTGAGCAGTTTAGACACAATTTTAGGAGGGCCATGAGGTACTGAATCGAAAAGCTATAGATGCTTACTACTTTTTCATGTTGCACAAGAAACTCGCGGATGGATTGCATTGCGGAGTAATTCGATATGTTAGCATAGACGTCCTTCGGTCATTATTATACTTTTGGTGGAGACACTGTGTCTGAGTGAAGAATGAAGGTAAAACGTCAACCGTTGAACAAACCACGAGAGATTGCGCCATGCGTTTGACTTCGTCAAACATTGAAGAGGTGACAGAATGCATATCTGGCCCATATAATGACTCACGATGGCCTATCAAGTCAGTACTGCTACCGCGGAAGTCTGGTACCACTTTGTCGAGCCCGGAAGAGTGGAGGGCTTGGTGTGTCCGGATGAGTGATTAAACCAGTGATCGGTATGGTGCGTACTGCAGCATACCTCTAACTACTACGCTCCATAAGATGCTTGCTGAACGACTGGGGCGGTAAGTTATGGGCAGTGGATACGAGTCTGATCTATGAGCAGCAAAGTACTGACCTATGGCGAAAATCTTACAGAACCCACCCACACAGTGAATTCCTAGGCGAATAGACAAATGAAAACTACAGAAAAGGATAACTCTCGTTCAGCAAGCATCTTATGGAGCGTAGTAGTTAGAGTATTGCGTAAAACACTTCTATTTATCACACAACAAGGATGAGATATGAGCAAAACTCGGGGCCCCGGTTGCGCTTCGAACCCGCCATTACCCTCTCCCGAGCTCACGCGCCCTCCACCTCACCCACAGAGGCTCTTGCTTTGCCCTTCTTTCAACCATGTTTTTATTCTATCAGTGGTATCAACAATTATCCGTCAACAGGGATGATGTGAGAAACACAAACTGACATAATGCACCCCACTCTGCTATGAAGGAAGAATAGGCAGTGAATAAAAGTTAGAATATTGTGATATCGACTGCAGCTTCAGCTTAATTGGATGCAATGCCGATTTGTGCTTCCTGAATCATTCCTGTTGCTGACACCGGTAGAGTTAAAAACTGGCTGGGAGAAAGGCAAAACAAGGGCCTCTGTAGTGCAGTGGGTAGCACGTGAGCCACTGGAAAGAGCAATCACGAGTTCGAAACACAACTGATACCCTGAGCTTTGCTCATATCTCAGCATCCTTGTGGTTGTATTTCACATTACACGCTGCCATGAAAAAAGAGTACAGGGTAAGTAGAGGTTAAAACTCCTATTTGCGTTGCTGTATTCGTATTTATGTTACTACTTGATTTAATAGACGATGCTTTGTGCTGTGTGCTGTACTTGCCCTGATTCCCTCAGTGTTCGTGCCGCTCTGCACTACGGCCAGGACATTCCTACTAGCGATTGTGATTCGTATCCTTCAAGGTATTTCAGAGATTTTAGAGTTTTAAAACAACTAGAGTTTACAAGCGTGGTAGTGATGTCCGTCATCACTAGCATCGTGCTAGTTCGATTCCGCTCCGGGTCAACCAAGCCTTTCATACCTCAGGGGTCGGGAAATTGGTACCAGACTTGTCTGGGGAAAAATCGCTCTCTGCAATCCGATCAGGAACCCTTCATCCCGGCTATCACAGGACTCGAGGGAGAGTCGACTCGACCAGCATTTTACAACATTCAAGATAAAATGAAAATCCTCAAGCAGCAGCCGAGGCCACGCGTAAAATTTGGATGATCTTCGTGGGCAATGGGTGCGAGGAAACGAATTGGTTGTGAGAAGTGCTGGGGTCCGCACGGTAGACGTGAATACGGATCAAATAAAATAAAACAAATGACAAAGAGTTTACAAGACCCAATTCAAGCTAGTTGGACAGTTCGTGCCTAAACTTTTAGTGCGAAATTTACAAAAATGCCAGGGACCATTTTTTTCCAAGTTTTTTTTCAGTTCCCTTAGTCCCGAGCGATAACATAACTATTTCAGGTTTTTCTCTGGCCGCATTTTTGCCATACGTGTGCAAAATGGCAATCTTCATTCCCATGAATTACATTGCTACTCCAACAATCGTCTTCTCTTACATTCAGGTCAGTAATGAGACGACCTAGTGTTTTCATTCAAACTGCTTCAATCGAGAATTTATGGTGTAGATGGTCGTCATCCGTACCCAACTTAAGCGCCATTGAACAGAAACCGGTAAAGTTTCCATTCCTTCCGGTCGTGTACCTGACCTGTTCAGTAGAATCTACTTGATTAAGAGATACGAGGAATTCCGTAAACATTAAGCGCTCTGTTTCTACTGTCTTTGGTGAACAGGTAGCCACAGTGAGTTATCGAGGCTCTTCTGTGATACACGCTAGTTCTTAGCCATAGTTTCGGATCGAAATGTCGAGCTCCTTCCCGGCTTAAATGGTCTTGTTGCTGATAGTTGCAGTATGTCTTAAAGCCAAGAAAATGATTTTAATAACAGTTATACTTGGAAAATTCTCTGTTTTCTTTATGAATGTCAATGAAAGCTAGTTGAGCCGCTCTCGGTCGAGGATTCTCTCTGGAATCCTGAGATAGTCGTTGTCGAGAGTTACTATTTGGATTGATGGGATTAAGCTTCTCCCAGGCAACTCTGGTATCAATTACCCGATCCCAGAAGAACGAGTGGCTTTGTGACCCTACGTGCAAGCTCAGACCAGAGGATAGTTTGGCCCGCCCGCATGGTGAACGGTATCACTACTACTTCGCTACTCGCTGTGTGATCCTCAATCATTGGGAAACTAGATTTTTATGCGGATCATGACTGCCGCTCTTAGTGTATTGTTCTCAGTAACAGTAAAATCTATTGGTGTTCATTAATACTGTACCGTCGAACTGCACGAATTCACAATAGCAATAGCTTCTTAATGAAAATCTGGTCAAAAAATCTGAAGAACATGAAAATAGCGTGGTATGAATAATGATACTATTAGTGTGATATTGGGAGTTGATAACCCAGTGGTAATGATACCGTCTATTACGAATACTGTGAAGGCCCGACCATTTTCCAAGGTCACCAAGCCTCTCTTCTCTCTGGGATCGAGAGATTACTACGAGACTTGAAAGGCGACAGCTCCCTCTGTGCAATTCACGTGGGAATGCTCTAGACCGATCATCCCATGCCTACAGAGAAAATTGAGTCGATCAGCATTCAACAACACTCGTGACGAAGACGAGAAAAAACCGCAAGGAATTGGCTTTGTATACTACTGATACGGGAAAACGAATTGAATGCAGAAAATGCTGAAATCGGCAGAGTAGATATCAAGACAGGTCTTGTAAAAAAAACGGGATTGGAGCCCATTCAATCACATATGTTTTGTGGAAATCCTAGAAATATTAGTTAATACACTGCCATTTTTTTATTAGCAAACCCGAGGAACCTATCCATTTTCAATAGCTAACGTTTCGGCGGTTTCGCCTTTTCAGTTATTTTTCCTAAACAGAGTACTTGACGTTCGCATTGGAACGGTCGTGATCCCTCTCACTAAAAGAACTAGAAGAAAAATTATGATTTAGTCTAGTTCACTGAATAGAAAGAATTCCGAGGACTGGAGAGGCGCTCGCCTTTAAATCGCTGAGCTTCTCAAGTTTAAAGCGACTGTGGACTTCAGATTGCAGCGTGTTTCGGTTTTCCGATCTTCTCGCTGTTGTCGTGGAGCGGCCTCGGATGGCATTCTGTACACTACGGCGGCTGCATCGCGACCGCGGTTCTCTTCGGTGTTTTCATGCTGATTCACTACGACGACGAGTTCAAGGAGAAGGCGACCAGAGAGGGAACTTTCAATGTGAGTTCCCTCATGTAGAAACTCGATTCACATTTTCGGAAGATCACTCGTTAGAAACTCGTTATTGCAAAAGGTTCTATTTCAAAATGGCTAAGCAGTAAAATCAAACCGCTTTGAGATTCAAAAAGGGTCACAATCTTGTGATATTCAGTTTGAAATGAAAACGTTGTCCATTAAATATCAAGAAATTTCTAAAAATAAAAAATTGTGAATTGTAATTGAGGCTGAACAGATCCACCGAATGAGAAGCTACGATTTTCCTTATTCGTGTATGATTTTTTTAAAAGTGAGTTTCAACATACCAAATTTCTTACTTTCTTCGATACTTGGACGGCCCACCCTCACTGGTTGTGCGGCATCCGTATAATCTCCATTTTTTGGAGATTTGCTGGTTAAGCTATTGTGGTTCTCTGGAATCCCAAGGTCACCCTGGACGACCTGGGCAAAGGTTGCCCTAGGTCGTCACCACCAGAGTTAGTCAGAGCCCTTGTGGATCAGAGAGAGTTAGCCACTATACGACTAGACTAATACTAGGGCGGTGGTGGATCTTGGTACTGGTTTACTCTTAGCTGGGCTTCCTGATGGAAAAGCCAGATTCCTTCTCAGCTTGGGAGATTCTACGAAACATCTTGATTATATAAATGGAATCTTGCGAAAATATAGGAAATGAGAAGAATGATGTGAAAAGAAAATTGAGTTAGTAGACACACCACTGTGGTCAGCTTTTAATGACAATTATGGGCATTAAAATGCAAATAAAATAACTTTAATGATGCTGAGATATTTGCAAAACTCCGGACCGCAGATGTCTGCAGTGAGAAACGAACGCGCTATTGTCCTTTCCGGTGAGTAACAAATCGGCAACGAACCCAGTTAAACTGAGGCTGCATAGAACTAGCTGAGAGAACGAAGGACCCACATGGTGTGGTGGTGAACGCGTTACTCCCCGGAAAGGACAGTAGCGCGTTCGTTCCGGAGTTTTGCAAATATCTCAACATCATTAAAATTATATTTCGCAATATACCCTCCCGTTAAAAAGAGTAGGCAGCAAATAATAAGTTAAGTAAATAAAATATTATAATACTAAAAAGTACTATAAAATAATATTTTAGCATAAAGCAAGTGTTTTTAGTAATCAGTTGCTTTTTGACAAAAGTTTTAAGCGGCCGTGTTCACGTGCCGTCGACGGTGCTTAAACGAAATCGATTTCCATTTAGGCCCTTTTCACGTATGAACGATGCAGATCACGTGTTGTGAACTTACGGCTTCCTTATCTGTCCATTTATCAGGCAAGTGATCATCTTCAAGTACTTCTAGAAGAGAAGAACATTCCACTTAATTTTTGGATGAACTACAATTATTGTTTGTATTTTTGTTGAGCAAACGCGAGGTGTTATTATTCTCTGTTCACGATTAAGCTGACGTTTCGGCGAATTTCGCCTTCTTCAGAGTCTGGAAAGGTCAAGTTGATAGCAACTCACTCGGCCAGACGCCTCCATAACCAAACAAAGAAAGAAACTCCAAACCAAGATTTCAATCACTTTGAACACAACTTTGCACACTCACCGCTTTCTATGAGGTTTCCACTAAGTATGTCACGTAGAGACCAACCGCACAGAAATCACGTGGAAGTATAATGTGCCCCTCACATCAGAAAAGCAGTTTTATATACTGCCCTATATCACGCGTGATAATGAGGCATTCTTCCCTGCGGTTCATTTTCGGATTTCTGGAATTAATCCAGAGTGCCTCGAGGGTTTTTCGCGCCTGTGTTCTTGAATCGTGTGCGAGGATCGTGACACATACTTCATAACGAATCCATAACGCAGGGAAGAATGCCTCATTATCACGCGTGATATAGGGCAGTATATAAAACTGCTTTTCTGATGTGAGGGGCACATTATACTTCCACGTGATTTCTGTGCGATTGGTCTCTACGTGACATACTTAGTGGAAACCTCATAGAAAGCGGTGAGTGTGCAAAGTTGTGTTCAAAGTGATTGAAATCTTGGTTTGGAGTTTCTTTCTTTGTTTGGTTATGGAGGCGTCTGGCCGAGTGAGTTGCTATCAACTTGACCTTTCCAGGCTCTGAAGAAGGCGAAATTCGCCGAAACGTCAGCTTAATCGTGAACAAAGAATAATAACACCTCGCGTTTGCTCAACAAAAATACGAACAAAATCACTTGATCAATGCCGAGGTTAATAGAAAGTCGGTCGTGGCAGTTACAATTAGTAGATTCATTGATATGGTTTAGTACCACGGATCTCTTTCATAGAGGGATCTCACGTCGGCTAGTCGAGAGGCAACGTAGCGCGTCCCCACGTGCTGATAGGGTGTTAATCGCGGACCAAAAGCGACTTATGCTTTTCTGCGAAGCAGATGGATCCAGGGCTTGTAATCCTGTTTCTGCTGCTCCGATTCGCGCATACCTTGTATGTTTACGAAAACGTATTCAGCAGGCATACGCGAGTGTGTGCTCGTTTATGCAGATTGTATTCCACGAGTCAATCCGGCCAAAAGCCTACCAGGTGACAGGGAAATATATGGCAGACCGTTAGGAGTTGCTTCCAACAAATACGCCCCCCTACTTTGGGGAGGCTGGCAAGCTGCCCGTCAGTATACCCAGTCCGAACAACCAGGGCTCACCAAGGTATACGTGGGTATGAAAAAGCTAAACACAGTGAAATGAACTGCCTTCATTTTCCTGACTACGAAAGAGTGACCGATTCTGCCGTGTTGGGTAGGGTGACTAAGGAGACGCTACTAAAATCTTAGGGCCGTACAAGGCTGCCTAAATCTCAAAGGACAATAGTTACAATCTGTACTTACAATTCACGTCCACTTGCATCCGAACCCTCGATAGAGAGCTTGATCAGGCATGCAAGAAGGATAACGGATGACGTCATCGAACTGGCTGAGACGAGAAGGCGCTACCCATTCAACAACTCTGACAATGGAGAAGAACTGTTTCTCGGAGCATGCGACAGTAGAGGAGTCGGCGGCGTCGGCCTTCTTGTCAGCACGAGTCTGCTCGTGAGCATGCTTGTGAGGAACTAACAGAACGATTCAGTCGTCTGCGTTTGAAGACGTGTGGATCACTATAGGCTTTGACAATCTTCGGCGTCTACGCACCCACATCAAGCTATGACGAGGACAAAGTCGAAGCGTTCTATATTGACTTGGAGAAATTCTACGGAGAAGACCATACTATCGTCAAGGTTATCATGGAAGATTTCAACGCTAACACTGGACCTAGAAGAACGTCTGATGAACATGACATTAGGACCCAATGATTAGAATGGAACGAGCGGGGTGAGCGGCTGTCTGAATTTGTCATAACAACCAAGGCCATCCAGAGAAGCCCAGAAGTCACACCTTCAACGACGGACGTGTGAGTCTTCCAATGGAGAGTACCATAACGAAATAGACCACATCATTAGTAAATAGATGGTTTTGCCTAATCGCTGTTGTACCAAAATTCTACACTGGATCAGACCATCGCTCCTTCGTACAAGATTTTATTTTTCGAGAAATGGAGCAAAAGCCGCTAAATTAAAAAAGAGAACCCAAATTAACCATAAACGGTCGCTTATTCCGTCTATTAACCCGTTGTTCGAAAGATGCCAACATTGACAAGATTACCGAAGAATTCGATTAGCTTATTCAACATCTTCGCCTTAGCGCCGTGAAGGTTGATAGTTCGAAAGTCACCAGGAGACGCCTGTCTCCAAAAACACTCGAGCTGATACGCCAGCGTGGAATCACACGAGCTACAGGCAACTGCAAACTCATATCCGAACTTGAAGAACAGTGCAGACAGGAGATAAAAGAAGGTCTTAACGAGAGAACAGCAGCAGTTGTGGTCAAAGCTGCAGAGATTGAGAAAAGCATTTGGAAAGCCCACCGAAAAGTCGCCAACTGCTAAACCGAGGTAATTGCATTCCGATGCCTAGACGGGACAGTTAACTTTTCCCAAGATCGAAACTTCGGCATTGGTTGATAATTCACTGCTTTTCTTCATTGAGCATACACGTTGGTATTGTAGAATTCATTAGCATACAAGAGCTGGCGTTTCGGCGGCTTCGCCTTCTTCAGAGATTGGGAAGGTCAAATTGCCACGCAATCTACTCAGCGAAACATTTTCATAACCTTAGCAGATAAGACTTAACACATAAATTTGCATTCGCATAATAAACAGCTTCTTTCAAACACTCACCGTTCTATTCTTTGTATGTATTCCAGTTAACTGGTTGACCGCAGCCGCAGAGAGTAATGCATGGGCAAAGAATGTGCCTAGGTCAGCTCATAGAATCAGCTTGAGGAATGACTCGAGCTCACGCGTGGTAACAAGTCGCTTCTCCTTGCGGTTCATTTCTGGATTCTAGGAATTAACCTTCTCTGCTATGTTTTTGTGTCCCATCCGTGCCTCGTGGAGTGTTTGGTTTCAATTTAAACTTAAAATGCTCGTTTATACGGATGCATAGCGGTCTACCCCTCTCGCCAAAGTATTCTTTCCTGGACGTTTTACAAGTGATTAGATACATCGTACCCGAACTTTTGCAATCACCGTTTCTACCGTTAGGGCATTTATGCAATTTTTCGTTGCACGCAGACGGTAGTATAGGCGGTTACGAACTATCTGGCGTCTTAGAGTGTCCAGTTGTATTTCTACCACGCTTACCGAATTCTCTAGACAGACCGTTCTTAGGCAACATTTTATAGCTGCACTCATTTCGTTAGCAATAAAGGGGAAGATGAACGGGGCTTATTCTCGCTACAATTATCGTTTAGAGGTGGTTCTTCCTCTTTGCCGATCCCGAAGAGCTACAGTTTCTCAGCCATCCGAAGTGGCTGCTTCCCGCGCCAATTTCATGAATTCTTCCTTCTGATCCCTTTTCGCAAGCGCTGGTTGCTGTTCGAAACATATCTCTTACATGCGCCATTTTGGTGTGTGAGGGGTGAGAGGAGAGGTCATTAACCACTATGTTTTTATACCTGGCTTTCGGTGCAATTTTATAGTGTAGCTGTTTTCGGATAGGCTAATTTGAGCGTTCAGAAATGGAAGCCAGTTTCCTTTCGGTTCCTCTCGGGTGAATTTTGTGTACTCCGAGTATTCGTTCAGAAACCGAAAGTATTTGGTCGATCTCCTCTTGTGTGGAGCTGGTGGCAAAACAATCATTTATATACCAACATTGGAGTAATCACTGGAGATCGATGTGCTTTCACTCAATGGCAAGGGTTGGATGCCAATCGCTGTCCCATTGCCAATATTCTAATTTGTGCGTAATATTTTTTGGACCATTTGAAGGTCGAGCAGTTCAGGCAAAGCTTTAGGAGGACTATGAGCTACTGAGTTGAGAAACCATACTTTTTTATTGCTCCTTTGTGTTGCGCATGAAGCTGGCAGATGGCTTGCATTGAGGAGACATTCGACACCTTAGTATAAAGGGCGGTAACGTCGAAGGACTACACGACATTTGCGCTTTTAGGATGCGAGTTACTCAGATGATCTAGGGACTTTTGGCATTCGTGAAATGGGCTGGTATGTGATTAAGCAGTTGGATGGGAGTTAGGTTTATAAACCAAGCAATTCTATCAATAGGCCCGTCTACACAACTGGTGATGGGTCTAACCTTCAAGGTTAAAGGATCGGTGGACCACAAATCATCGGAAGATACTAACCTATGAGTTCTGATGAGCGAGAATAAGACGGGACATGTTGGTACTTCGATCTTATGGTGAGAAATGTCTGATGGTTTTAAACCTGTTGCGCTTGCAGCTTTGACCCACTCGTTGTTCAGTTTTCGATATTGACCTTTGCATTCCTTTTCAGTCGAAGTGCGAAAGAGCGAAGCGTCTTTAAGATGCTTTCCCTTCATCTCAACATCTGACTGGTGAGGGATTGCTACAAACTCTCGACTCTTGTCACTAACTCTATATTCTAATAGTCTTTGGTTTTCCTAGTTGTCGAAGCTGTCCACCCAGATTTTTGCGATACTGTAAGGTTAGAACTAAACTTTCTCACGCACTAGTGCTTAAGGGATGGGTTACCTCGCACCATACCACGGGCTAATTCAATGACCTGACCCAGACACATTCCTTGCCCGTGCATTACTCTGTGCGGCTACTCTCCACCAGTTAACTGGAATACTTACAACGAATAAAACGATGGATGTTTAAAAGAAGCTGTTTACTGTGCAAATGCAAATTTATGTGTTAAGTCTTATCTGCTAGGGCAATGAAAATGTTTGGCTGGGTAGAATGCATGTCAATTTGACCCTTCAAGGCTCTGAAGAAGGCGTAACTGCCGAGACGCTATTGTATGCTTATAAATTCTGTAATATCAACATCGTGTTTGCTCATTGAAGAAAAGCAGTTCAAGTTTTTCTTTACAGCCTATTATTTTTTCACGGCAACTGTGATGTGAAGTAGAACCACTGTGATGCTGGGATGTTTTCAAATCGTGCACCTTGAGCCTGATCTGCCAATATATCAGCGTCATAGTGGAACAGTTATAGTCTCCCGAAATGCAGTGGTGAAAATCATTAACAATTAGTACTCGGATTTCTTCAATAGCAACGTTTTGCTGCCCCATATGAAATAAAGGAAGACGTATATATCGTACCACTGGTTTCCGCTACCGAAATCCGACATGCTATTCCGCCAGTGGAAAATCGAGCAACACCAGGACCGCATAGGATAAGCTGAGATAGAAGCATGAGATCTGAGCACCAGAATCACCTTCCACCAGTCCTCCTAAATAGACTGGCTCGGCTTTTTAGACGTTACCCATCTGAATGCTGGTTCACTACTGAGTGGAAGAACAGCAATGCCGTGCTGTTGTTCACGAAGGCTGACTTCCACGATATCGGCAACTATTGCCTGATGTGTTTGCTGTCTGTCGTCTACAAACTTTTCACTGGAGTCATCTTAAACAGGTTGACAAAACACTGGACGAAGGAGAGCCATGTGAGCAAGCAGTGTTTCGAAAAGAATTCAGTACTGTGGATCATATCCATTAAAGAAGGCTTTTAACCCAGCTGAGATAGAGGCACTAATGGATGCACTGTACACTCAGGGAGCACCTTCGCAGTATATAAAAGTTCTCCGTTAGCTGTGTAAAAATTTCGCAATTAAGATATTACACGTATAATGCTGAGATATTTGCAAAACTCCGGACCGCAGGTGTCTGCGGTGGGGAACGAACGCGCTATTATCCTTTCCGGGAGTAACCCGCTCACCACTACACAATGCGGGTCTTTCGTTTCGCCTGTCTTTCAGCTAGTTCTATCGATCTTTTGCCATCAGCAATCACCCGTCAACGGGATTGATCTGGGGAGCCCAAATCGGCATTGAACTTAGTTAAGCTGAAACTATAGTTATAAACACAATCTTAACCTTTTTATTTACTGCCTATTCTTTTAAATGTTAGAATTAAATGTTAGAAAAACAGGCGAAACGAAGGACCCGCATGGTGTGGTGGTGAACGCGTTGCTTCCCGAAAAGGACAATAGCGCGTTCGTTGTCCACCGCAGACACCTGCTGTCCGGAGTTTTACAAATATCTCAGCATTAAACGAGTTATATTTCGCAACATACCCTGCCATTAAAAAGAATAGGCAGTAAATAAAAAGGTTAAGACTAAGATATTACATTTATATTTATTTTTTCATTTATTTTTTTTCTTATAAACTGATCATGTTGAGCTAATGCGAGGGTGATATAAGTTGTCGTAAGGACTACATTCGTAACAGCACGGATCTTAGGAAGGCGAAATCGCCGAAACGTCAGTCATCGACCAACTACAACGACAACGACAACTTGTACCAACCTCACCGTGTTATTGTTCAAGAACGGTGACCTACACGATATCGGCATCGATCGCCCAATCTGCTTACTGTCTGTCGTCTACAAATTTTTCACACGAGTCATCCTAAACAGGATTGACAGAACACTAGACGAAGGACAGCCATGTGAGTAAGCAGGGTTTCGAAGATGATTTAGTAGGATGGACCACATCCACACAGTAACACGGCTCATTGAAGTATCGCGAGAGTACAAAAAACCGCTCTGTCTCACTTTTATCGATTTACAGGCCTTTGATTCAGTTGAGATAGGAGTCTTGGAAGCCCTTGACAGCCAAGGAGTTCCTAGTCAGTACATAAAGATTCTTCGTGAGCTGTACAAAAATTTCACAACCAAGATATCACCATTCTACAACGATATTAACATTGACGTCAAAAGAGGAGTTAGGCAAGGCGATACCATCTCGCCAAAATTATTTACCGCCATCCTCCAGAATGTCATCCGAACATTGGAATGGGATAATATGGGAGTGAAAATCGGTGGTGGGCAGTTACATCATCTTCGCTTTGCTGATAATATCAAACATTAGCCAAGCGGAACGTATGCTTGCCGACTCTAATAAAGCCTGTGGAAAGATTGGTCTTCGACTGATTCTCATAAAAACGATGTTCGTGAGGGACGGACTGGTTTCGTGTGCCCCATTCATGCTTAACGGAATCATCATCTTGAAATGCGCCAGCTTCTTCTATCTAGGTCGGGAAATCAACAAAGTGAACGACTTAGCTCAAGAGTTGAGCAACTGGAAGGGGGCGACCTGGGAAGCTTTCAAGAGCGCCGAGGATATATTGAGGAGAATAAAGTACATCCGAATGCGTGCTCACCTTTCCGACTCTACGATTCTTCCTGTTTTAACCTCAGCGGTCGGAAACGTGATCGCTACGTGAACAAGGAGAAGGACGTTTAGCGTTGTAGGTCGTAGGTCGTATGACACAAGTGAATGAATAGATCCGAAGCTCCGACCTACGACAACGATCAAAATTCATTTCTACACGCCTAATTGTTGAAAACAATGTAGACCGAATACGTAATGCGTATGATGGAAAACTGATGGACAAGTGCTGTTAGTGGCCAGATTTTGGGTATATCAAATGTACAGCAGGAAGACCACCAAACCGATGGTCAAAGTTCTTCACAAAAGGCCTAGAAGCTCAACAAGTCCCTAAAGCGAAGAGAGCCCACTGGGTTAATATTACACGTGACAGGGAGAAATGGAAGATTTACTGGCATCCGCTCGAGTCACTCGACGATCAGCGAGGTGACGCGTGATCCATGTGATAGTGAATTCCACCATAAGAAGCGAAGCTTTTGTTTATTGGCTTAAGCCTAAACGATTCGACTATTCTTATTTTCGCCCTAAGTTGTATACCGTTCAAGGCAAACATTGAGAATAAACGGTCCGTTAATTTTCAGGATATTCGAGTTTGGTCGGTGTTCGCTGCCGCATTTGGCCATTTCACTGCTATCAATCTCTACTTGACTTTTGGTGCCACATTCTTGAACAAGGTTATCTCTCTTTTCAACAATACTGTACATCTTTCTGCTTAAGATTCGACTTTTCTTGCACTCTAATTTTCCTACGTTCTCATCTTTCAGACAATTCGTATTTACAGTTCAATTCTATAAACCGAAGAATTCGTATTACTGCATGGAGCTGCAAGTAGAGTAAACTTTTATGTTAGACAGGAGAATGTGTGAAATAGCGGCTAACATGAATTGAAGTCCGGAAGTAGACACCATGTATTGATCTTCAGGTGGTCTCAATATCGATCGTCGGCACTGGTCTTCTTCTCGCTATTCCGCCAGTATCCAACACCATAATCAGTTTTCTCATGTATGGAATATTTTCGAAACTGGCGTGAGTCACCATTCCTATATTTCGGCTCGAAAGTCTAGCATAAAGGAGCAGCTTAGGTTTTACTTTTTAGGAATACTGAGTTAACTAAACTTCGACTTTTCAACACTCTTGGAACCGTGCCATCCGGCATTTTCTTCACCCTGATTGGTTCGTTTGATCCAGAACATCAGCGGGGTTCTGCTACAGTATGTATCTCTTCAAAGCGGTATAAGTTTTAATAAGTACGCTGAAGACACATCCATTCAGGCACTTTTCATTATCGCCAGCTCCTTACTGGGCTTCAGCTCCTGCGGATTTTTCAGGATGAACCAGTTACGCTCGAGACAGGTTCATTACCCAATTTTTGGCTCATGAAGTAACACAGATAATTTGGAATATTTCAGCACCATATATTTCTACTTGCGAACCTTTTCCTTATTAACTGCGTTTCAATGTTTCTCACGTCTCTTTTCAATGTGTTGATCGCAAACAATGATGATTACTGTATGGTTTTTTTTAATTTTCCAACTACACAAGCTTATTACATGCAGATGAAAGTTGAACGAAACTATTGTAAAAATCGAGTCTTAACGAATTGAATCAATGGTTTCAGCAACGTGGGAAGCTGTATTGATTCTGCATGGTGTGATTCTGATCGTCACCAACGTAGTATTCTGCGTTTTTGCAACAGCAGATGCAGCTGACTGGACGAAAGACGGTTATGAAGATTCTTCGATCCGACCAACAAGGGAAGATCCTCTCCCCCAAAGACCCCTATGAGTTTAAAATATCTGAGGATCCCTAACAAACTCCTAGCCTACGGTAACGCTGGTTTATTGATTGGAAATAAATCTATCCGTACCATTTATTTCTTTCCGTGCACCAAAGTCATGGCCAATTTTGTTCGACTTAACCGTCTGATGGACAATGATTTCATTCATTGAACAATATGATGTCATGGACAAAAGTCATGGAATCTATAAGTGCACAAGAATTCGCTCCCATCCATCTTCCACATCTTCCGAAATATTTCGTAGTCCTTCGCTCATTTATTGTATAACAGCTTATACGGATGAATATTTAATACTGGTATTAATGCGCATCTTATTAGAAATGTACTGCTTTAGTTGCTTCAGAGTTGGTTGGTTGGTTCAGAAAAGGAATAAAAATAGATGATGTATTGCTCGTTTTGAACAGAAAACGGCGTGCTATTGCATCGTCTGCATTCTTTTGTACCCCCTCATCCTTGGTAGACGTCTTTGTTGCCGTGTCTCCGCCCTTAACAGCAGTGTATCCCTGGTTTTTTTTCGATTTTCTTTCGCAATGAGACCTTACTGACCGTTCCATAGTCACCACCAAAACATCGTCGTACTTGTCGACCTTTCGCTGACAGCCTCTATTCTTCCTAGTTATATGATATACCAATGTTGGTTCTCCCGTTGTTAATGGAGAATGAACGTCTCCAAGGTCCAGTGGGACGCCAGGTAGATTTCTGCTCCATGTCGAAATAATAAACTAAGGCCCTGAAGGAACGTGACTATCTAGTCGCTTTCTATTGTTCCTTTTGGGGACATGAATGTCGAATCAAAATGTCCTAGACATCTTTTTCGCGCATGTATCTATCTACAAGCACAATTTCCATTTAGCTGCCAAATAACGATAGTTAGTGAGTGGATGAAAAGTGTGCCATATGAAGCTCAACTACTACCACCGACCTCTCTAAACCTATTCAACTTCAGGGATTCTTATGAGGCAGTGCTTACTGAAGCAGTTGCGCTCAACACATTAAAGGGGCCCTCATCAGAAATGTACACATTGTTCTGCTTCTTTTACCTAAATGCTTTTATATAAACTGAACTAACGATCGACTCGGATCATCGCCTCTGATGAAGATGAACACGTTGAAACGTTAGCCGGAAATAAATATATTTAACCTGATGTAAGCTCATCAAAGAAGAGATACATAAACTGAACTATTCACCTGTCAAACGTTGCGTGTACTACTGCTAATCGCCCAATAACTCTAAAAGTAGCCATGGTCTCTCCTCGTCTCTTAAAGACACTCGGATTGCCCAATTGGCTCTGGGAACATTAATGCTTTCGAACTTGATTCATTTTTACTGATTTAGCAGAAACTTCCAGAACTCTCAAGATTTTGCCGTAGCGCAGGTTTAATCCTTGGTGAGCTTACGCATGAAAAGTCCAATTTCTTCTCAACTTGGAGTTACCTGCTGGAGATGAAACCTCATTCTATTCTGTAACTCAACACCCAGGAACATTTCCCAATCACGAAGAGCCAGCGAACCGAGGAACTGAAGGACAAGGCGTCAATTATCCAAAAGTCTAAAAAAGGAATTGTATCGTATTCTTTTAAAAGGTTTTATTCATTACAAATGAAGAACCATATATATATTATGCTGTAAAGATACGAGCTACACAGTGGACATCAAACAATAAGCCAAGGTGACGCTCAGCTCATGAATGCAAATGAGCAGCTCGCACTCTCATTCATAATGAAAGCTACTAATAAACGACAAAGTAAGCATTTAAAGCGATAGAAGTAAGAGGATCATACACTAGGACGATGCGTCTAAGCATAAAGGGTCTGTTTTTTTGTAATGGGTTGGCGGCAGATATGACAAGACTTGAGCAGTGAAGTGCATTCCGAACATGCCGTATGGCCGCAGTTGAAGACAACCTGAAATGAACTACTTTACCTGAAGAACTTTGTGAAACCGCACGAATCGCGGTGAGAACAGCACTACAGTTAAGTATTGTTCACGAAAACCAAGTACGAGCCACTCTTGCGCGGTAATAGTACAGCCTCGCCCCATCCTTTTGTCAACCACACATTCAGAATTCAACGAACACTTGGTCGAGCATCCATGCAGATAATACATGACGTTTCCATCTCCAACTGGGCCAGTCTTTCTCGCAATTCTTCCAACTCGCGGAGCTTCTCTAAATTCAATTTACTTGGATAAGATTCTGCCCAAACCTGGAAACGTCTAAGTTTGCATTTTTTCCAAAGTGCACCTTTTTGTAGTGGTCGAGGTAGAAATCATTCTGTGTGATAAAGCACTACAATTGGTTAACTCCAACTGAACAGAGATAATGTCTAGTAGCTAGCGAGAAAATTCGGAATCACTATGATCGTCGTTTCCCATGTAGTTAGTGAGTGACTACACCGCAGAGCAATTAAGGATTGTTCTCTATAAAGCACGAAGAGTGAAAAGAAATAAGATAGGTCTATGCTCGAGTTTATGGATATGTGATAACTCTTCCATAGGATCCAAGAATATCGAGCTGACCTCGTTCGGCGTCTAACTTGGCCTGTTTAGCGGCAGCGGCAGCTATTCGCTCAATCTCTTCATTGGCTAATATTCTGCACTGTTCTTCTACAGAAACGGCGACTGTTCTTAGCGGTGCTTCTCCTATTTGTATTTCTACACCATCTGTAATTTAACTATGATTAAAAGTACAAAAAACCACCATAGATCATGATTTAACAAGACGGATACAAAGCAAAGGATAAAAGGATATAGCTCTCGGCGTTGATCAATCCCTGAGGGATGCGCCATGCGTTCGACTTTACTGAGTATCATCGGAGGTGACTGAAGGCATATCTGGCCTGGCTTTTACAATGACTCGCGGTGGCCTACCGATGTATAGAGCCAGTGCTGCTGTCCTCCCAAACAAGTCTGGAACCAATTTGGCGAACCCGGAGGGATGAATAGACTTGGTGGACCATAAGTGGGGATCGACTCCACGTGTCTGTTGCAGAGCGTCTCCGACCACTGCGCCACGCATCTCCTCTCCGTCCTCATTTAAAGCAGAAATATGTAAAATTTCAAGATCTCGCAAACGCACCTGATATGGCTTTCTCTATTCGCTGATAGCAGAGCGGACAACGTTTAAGGGGTGTGCTTCTAGCACACTGTTTGCATACGACACGATGACCACAGGGAACGAAACAAACATCGGCTTGAGAGTCCTGAAGAACTGCGCCAAAATCCACCAATACTAGGAATAGTGAATTCACTAAGCAATTCAACTCGATACACCACCTTCAAGTAGTGTGGGTCGACTAATTGAAGAATTCGCCAGTATCACAGTAATCTTTATCATTTTAGAAGTCTTAGTACCAACGCGGCAAATTTCTTTTCAATCCACAAAATTTATCCATAGGGATGACCTGAGAATGGCCAGCCCAGCTATCTAGGGTTTCTAGGAAAGATCATGTGTTAATAAAATTCAATGTTCTAGTAGAAGGAAATAACAGAGCCACAAGTTGCAATGGGAACACATACATGCCCGACCACCTCTGTGGATGAAGATTGCAAGATTGTAAAGCAAATGATTCAAAAGCTGTGACTCCCACGAGATTTGAAGACGAAAATCTAAGTGCCCAAGACTTTATTGAAATGGAGTATATGTACAAGAGCGTTTTAGCTATTTTAAAGGTAAAGGATAAAGCTCTCGGCGTTGATCAATCCTTGAGGAATGCGCCATGCACTCGACTTCATTAAGCATCGTTTAGAGGTAATTGAATGCATATCTGGCCTTAACAATGACTCGCAGTGGCCTACCTATGTATCGAGCCAGTGCTGCTATCCTCTCCTACAAGTCTGGTACCAACCCCGGAGGGATGAAAAGCTTGGCAGGCCATGGATGCAGGGATTGATTCCAAGTGTGTTGAACGGCGCCCCGACCGCTGCGCCACACGCGCCCCTAGCTACTATAGTACTAAAAGTCACTTACTTCGCAGTTGAAGGTGCACATAAGGACACCAGATGTGTCGAATTCGACGACAGTCGCTTTCGTCATTGGGAGGCATGATCTGCAACCACTAAGTGATTGAAGAGCGGAAACATCGAGAAACACAAGACAAAATATGACACAACCCCCGAGTTCGGCAGTGCATAGCAAGCCTCGCAAACAAATGAGCCTCACTAAAGCCGCAGCTCACCCAATGGCAAACGAATGATAGGAGGTAAAGGCTGATAGTTGTGATAACCACACCTTGGTCGCTTATCTACGATATCCATCAACAGATGTCGAACTCGCACGTCTAAACACCCATCTAATACTGACGTACCAGAACGGTCGCTGAAAATGAAGCTTCCATAACTTCGACTAGATTCATTAGCTTGGAATAATCTTATAATGTTCGAGTCAATTATGCAAGGATGGCGACATTAGAACTCTACCACTTGCGTAATTCTTAATATGTAAGGACTTCGAACGTCGTCAATCGAAGAATGGATTACTAAAAGTCACTGAAAACTGGGATATCTTCTCTTCCTAGCAGAAATATTGACTAAACGACTGGAGAAACAAGAAAATAGCACTTACACTAAGGAAAAATCCGCTCCTCGAGCGACAAGGAAACACATGCAAGCGAACTGCCAATGAGGTCGAACAAGACTTGCAATGTCGTGAAGGTTCTGCGAAAAGATCGTTGACTACGAGTAAATCACGAAACTTTCGTTCGTAGCGATTCATGTGATCCAAGCTTGAAGTAGAACCATAACAATACTTTAAAAAGGAAGAAATAACAACTGTATACAATCGACTCGGATCAATCCGAACCTGAAGAAGACGAAGTCGTCGGAAAGTTAGCCGAACAATGTTTTTTTAATCAATCTCATTGTAGTACACCAATGAAAGAATATGTATCCTCGTTAAAGAGCTAAATGTCGGAAGCATGGTGAAGAAAACGGAGACGAAAATCGACTGTATGTTGGTATCATTTATATCATAAATGTTTCTGGTCTGGTCGGCTTCTAGTTAATTCCCTCTTAACGGTTTATCCCCTTATCGTGGCTGGGACGTGTTCTTCGGTGCCGGACTGCGATCTGCAGCGGAGGTATTCGGCCCCCTGCAGGGTCTCCCAGGCTGAGAACGAGTCCGGCCTTTCAATCAGGAAGCCTGGCTAGCAGTAAACCAATACCAGGATCCACCACTGTCCTAGTATCAAAGTCGCATGGTGGCAAATCTCCCTCTGGTCCACAAGGGCTGCGATTGTTTGTGATGGTGAAGACGTGGGGCAGACCAGGGTGACCTCGGGATTCGGGAGAACCACAATGGCTTAACCAGCAAGTCTCCGAAAGATGGAGATTATGCTGGGACCCGTACAACCAGTGAGGACGGGCCGTTCAACTATCAAGTATCAGGCATCAAGTATCCTAGTTAATTCTCTCTTTTCACAACGCAGATTCCTGTCCAAGGTTTTCAAGTTTTGATAAATTGGTTCACAACATCAAAAACACTGCTATAACCTGTAGCACAGACTAGCCTCGTATCAACCACGGATGGTTGGTGTGCTTTGTTTGCCCTGAGATGGTTTGGACGTAAAGATCACGTGTGTGGCACCTGGCGTTGACAACTACCGCGCCACACGCACGCAAGGCCGAGACCAAATTTTTCCAGATGGTTGTTTAACTACCAGCAATAACTATTATAGAGATTACAACTCGGTGCTCAATTTAAAATACCTACCATGTGTATGAGATCACTACATGAGGTAATCGTATGAAACACAGAGATCGGTAAGTTGACAACTTTGCAGTCACGCGAAGCAGTTGTGAACTTAATAAACTCCTTCACTAACAAATGTGAAGCAGTCTCGCCGTCACAGTCCTGCACATTCAACGGACAGCCAGCAAGTACTAATGCCTGCAAGTTGCAGAATCACTGCTATAAAAATAATGAAAACCACATCAGGAAGAAGAAATGAATCTCATAGTCTGAGCCACTCCGGGAGTTAAAGTTCAGAAATTAGCAAGGAAAGGTATGGAATAAAAGTGTAACGTGAACTAGTACAACGACAGACTTAATAGAATTAAGTGAACATAGACGGAAAGCGTCGCTATAGGACCTAAGATTCCCCTTAAGAAGTTGAACTCGTTGTATAACTTCATGAATGAAAGTTGGTCCTGCTGGCGACATATTCTAATCGTACTCCTAAGAAATAAAAGTGATTGAGAGTAACAGAACGTGAAGAAACATAAAGAAGCAGCACTGCATGTTTAGTAAACACAAGATCAGTTCATGAAGAACAACTTCTGCAAAGTCTCCCAACGGTTTACCGCCTCATCGTGCCCAGGAGGTGTTTCTGGGTATCGAACCGCGATGTACAGTGCGAGAGATTTATCCCCCTGGCAAGGTCTCCCAAGCTGAGAAGCAGTCCGGCGTTTCCATCAAGAAGCTTAGCTAAAACTAAACCAATACCAGGATCTACCAGGACCACCGTCCTGGTATCAAAGCCTCATGTTGACAAATCTCCCTCTGATTCACAAGGGCTGCGACTGCCTGTGGTGGTGAAGACTTGGAGCAGACTTTGACCAGGCTGACCTCGATATTCCAGGGAACCACAATGGCTAAACCAGAAAATCTCCGAAAAGTGGAGATTATGCTGCGACCTGCACAACCAGTGAGGATGGGCATTCAAGTATCAAGTATCTTCTGTACAGGAGAACTAATAGTAATAATGAATGAAGAATTGATTATGGAGAGGACATTCTAAATGTACGTAGAACTTTCACTAGACAATGGTGATGAAGATTGTCCCTTATGAAAATTCACTGATGAACCAATCATTATGTTATGAGTAGACACAAATCTCTAAGTGCTATTTTTCCTGGGTTTTCTTAACCTGAGCCAGCGAAACCAATTCTCCATGAAGGCCTTCGGCAACCATGAGCCAATACGTCCAATATTTGGTAAGATTTCAAATATTGTCGAAATCTTCCTAGCGGTTCGCAGTGTATCCCCAATCATGAGCTAGATGGTCCAGATTTTTCTGTCTAGGTCACTTTTGTCCTGCATATTACTTCCAAATCTCATCCATCAGCTGCCCTTAAAGAGATGTGGAGACTTTTTGAGACTCAGGGTTTGTGGACACCAATAACATGCTATATTTAAACCTAAAGAAACAGGTTATTCTGTGCATTTACATGGAACGAATGTTATCTAAAGAAAATAACGATCTTTTTGGGACAATATTCTCTGGTTTAATATCTTCTGCATGTCATCGATGACTCACCTGAACGCAAGCAAGCCGATCCATGTCCTTGTCGACCGAACCGTGCCACTTCTCAAGTGCGAGATGCAATGCGGTACGACCCAGTTTAGAGCATCGGGTTACGTCAGCGTTCAACTGAAACTCACTCCAGATCGGCTCCTTGGCTTCAAATTTAGTTCTAGAAACTATTTTAAACATAGAAAAACTATCTCACAAAAATTTCCAGCTCAATCGTAATGATTTTAAATATTTAAGTATTAAGCTACTTCAAAATGAGAGGCTGTGTTGCCTATATAGAAGATCTACGTCATCGATAACCCGACCAAGCGCTTATCGCTGTTGAAACTGTCCAGCCACTAGTTGTTCAAAGCCCGCCGATAGCACATTCTTTATAGCACATTGGATGGGGGTGTGCTCTACTCATATGGACACTGTTCGACCCCTACCGAAGTATACTATGCCTTCAAGGTCGGAAAATGTTACCAGACATTTCTAAGAAGGTAAAAGATAATCTTGATAATCGGCAGACCATTGAAAGTGACTCCTTAGGCCAGATACCCATTCAATCACTCTACTATGCTGACAATGGGAGTCGTACTCATTACGTACCCCTCGGAGATTGATCAATGCCGAACGCTTGTCTTTTATCACTTTATATTAAAACTCACTCATGTTCACAGTTGAACTAGAAGCGCATTTGTGGGTTTAGTACTAAACCTCTAAAAACTCATTCCCCAGGCTGTTCAATACATTCAAATCTTATGTTTAAGCAATTTACCACAATCAACAGGACACGCGTGGTGCAGTGGTCGGAGGTGCTCTGGAACACAGACGTGGAGTCGATCGCCACGCCCATGGCCCACCAAGTCTTCCATCCCTCTGGGGTCGGCAAATTGTCGGCAGATTTGTCTGGGAGGATAGTAGCCCACCACTAGTCATTGTAAAGGTCAGATATGCATTCAATCACCTCCAAACAATGTTTAATGAAGTAAAATGTACGGCGCATTCCTCAGGGATTGATCAACGTCGAGAGCTTGTATCTTGTACCTCAATCAGCAATTCGGTACATTTTCGTCGACCGTAAAATGCGGCCAAGAGAAGTGGTGAGAAGCCATTTCCAGCGTCAGCATTGAGATGTTGTGGTCGTGATTGCAGAATCAAATCCATTGTCCTAGAACTTCAGCACTTCAACGTTATGTCTATAAAGAACGATACCTGGGATTTTTCGTACCTATGGCAGTCTTTGGAGATGGCAATGTGAACAGGTGTTAGCTCGTCCTCATTGCAAAGGTGTAGGTTAAGCCGAGTGTTCGCCAAAAGTCGACCGACCATTGCGATTTTTGTTGGCGACTCAGGAAGACCACAAACAATATGCATAGGGCTGTCTCCAGCCGAGTTCTGAAATTCCGAGAGGTTATTATATGAATGCTGGAGAAGACACAGAACTCTCAACTATTTTGAAATTATGTGCAAAAGTCGTGAAGCAATGACATGTGGCTTGGAACTTCACAATTCCTAGCTGCTAGGGGCAGACATTTCCCCAGCCACGGTTGATGAAATATGGATTCCTAACTATTTCGCACAATAAGTCGTGTCAGCTGCATGCGAACCGAATCCTTTATATCCAACAAAGGAAAGTTCTTGAAAAGATTGACAGCCTGGTCTTTTACTGTAGTTATAGTTGCAATAACAGTGAGTCCCAAAACGACGGAATCACGGCCAACGTGACCTTGAATTGAAATGGCCGGTGCCTTCATCGTGATTGACTGCAACTATAACTACAGTAAAGCCTCCCAAGAGCAGCAAACGACTCCAAGATATTGCTGAGGAATTGGCCCACGGTTGGTGCAGTGGACAACGCGTGCTCCAGGAGTAATCACGGGTTCGAAGCACACCTTTGGTCCCGAGTTTTGCTCATATCTTAGCATTCTTGTTATTATAGTTCAACTTCATTATCTGCCATGAAAAAAAAATAGGTGGTACGTAAAAGTTAAAACACATCAAGACAGTATGTATTCTTTCTTTGATGAGCTTACACGAGGTTGATAATGATGTTTAAACACAACAAGGCAGTACCATCTATTCGAGGAGATGGCTCACTGAAGAAGACCTAACTCGACACGAAGGCGAAGCTGCCAAGTCGAGGCGAACAACAAGCGAGGACCATCGACTCGGATCATCGGCTCTGAGGAAGACGAAGACGTTGAAACGTTAGCCGAAAATAAACATCATTATCAACCTCGTGTAAGCTCATCAAAGAAAGAATACATATTGATTAGTGATACCGAAGTTCAAGGAAAGTCGGTTTCGAAACACCAAGACAGTGTTCATCTACAGGGTAAAAAGAGGACTCGCAAGATAATCCCGGAACTTGTCAGGGAATCTTGCGAACATCTGCTATATTCACCGAATTCCATTGAGTCGAACTACCGTCAGGCTATCGATGAACAAGCAAAACTTTAAGATGCTAGTGACTATTTCTTCGCTTCGGATTTCTGTAGACCGAATGTCCACCAGCTTTACCTATGCGTACCATGATACAATTAATGATTAATTTGGAGATCGAAGTAACGTTGTAAAACCAAGTTTTAAAAACACTGAAAAATCTCCCCATTTCTGCAACATGTTCTTCCTATCGTTGAGTTATAAAGACTAGAATGATTGTAGTGATGCTGAGATATCTGCAAAACTCCAGAGCACAAATGTTTGCGACTGGGATCGAACCCCATTACCACCCTTTCCAGGAGCTAACGCTTTCACCACCACAGTACGCGTGTCCTTCGTTTCGCCTTTATGTCAGCCGTGTTTTGTTGGTATGTTTTGTACCAGCAATCGCTCGTAACCCCCACACCGCGATGAGTGATAAAAAGGCTAGATCACTCCGCAGCGACCGGCGGTCCGGAGTTTTGCAGATATCTCAGCATCATTGTAGTTGTATTTCACATCATACTCTGCCATGAAAAAAGAATAAGCAGTGAATAAAATTTGACGATTATAATGATTGTTGCTTGATAAAAAAAAGTTCATAACGTCTACTATAGAAGAGCCAAGTTTGTAAGTTCAGCCATTGTGGTTGGTACAATTGGTGATAAGCCATCTGACTGACGAGTTTCTCTTCAGTGGAATGGAATGGATGAGTTGCACCCTTAGGGCTCTGGGCAAGACTCCTTTCATCAAGTACGTGCACACGAGTGTCATCTAATCGTCGCAGCAAGCATTTTCCTGTTCACAATAAACTCTTATTTAAAAAACGACTTTTTAAAGTATTACGGGGCTCCGGAAAGACAGTATCTCCGCGTAGAATAACATTCATAATTTTATCTGTTTGTTTATGAGCTTTTAATCTAGTAATGTATAAATTTTCTTCTGCAATAAGAGAAACAAAAAACTTCATGGAACTATTTCTCAAACATATCCGCCTTCCCCCTCCTATTCAGAATAGGCATGGTTTTCAAAAACACTTCACACCAACGTACTGCGGAACTCTGCTCAAACTTGTAGCATTTGATGAAGCACTCAATTCTGCCGAGGTTTCACTCATGTAGATTATGTTAGCTTTCTATTCACTGCATATTACAATTTCTCATGGTGGGGTGTTACGTGTGAAACAACCACAATGGTACTGAGATGTTTGCAAAACTCCGGGCCGCAGGTGTCTCCGTTGGAGAACGAACGCGCTATTACCCTTTCCGGGAGCTAACGTGCTCACCGTCAAACGTCATGCGAGCATTAGAATGGGATAATATCGGAGTGAAAATTGATGATCGGCAGTTACATCACCTTCGCCTTGCTGATGACATCGTCCTTATAACACCAGAGCCAAGCGGAACGTATTCTTGCCGAATTTGATAAAGTGGAAAGATTGGTCTTCGACTAAATCTCACAAAAACTATGTTCATGAAGAATGGATTGATTTCGTATGCCCTATTCACGCTGAACGGAACGAATACCTCCGAATGCTCCAGTTATGTCTATATAGGTCGGGGAATCAATCAGATGAACGACTTCGCCTCAGAGCTGAGCAGAGGGAAACGAGCGACTTGGGAGCTTTCAAGAGCATCGAGGATGTAGTGAAGATAACAAAGAACACCCGACTCCATGCCCACCTTTTCCACTCAATGGTACTTCCTGCTCTAACGTATGCGTCAGAAACCTGGTCGCTGTGTAAGCAGGATAAAGGGTCACTCAGCGTTATCGAACGCGCAGTCGAAAGGACGATGCTAGGAGTATCCCGTTCCACACAAGTAAGGGGTGGGATCCGAAGCTCCGATCTCCGTCAACGATCAAAAGTCGAAGATACCGTTCTGTACGCCAAAGAGTCGAAGATAAGGTGGCGGGACGCGTAATGCTTATGAATAACAATCGATGGACAAGAGCCGTTAGTGACTAGATTCCTCGGAATGTCAAACGCACTGCAGGAAGCCACCGACCCGATGATCAGAGTTCTTCACGAAGAGCCTAGAAGAAAGATATGATGTTCGACGAATCCCTGGAGCGAGCGGAACCCACTGGGCTACTCTTGCACGCGACAGGGAAAAATGGAAGATTTACTGGCGCCCGCTCGAGTCACTCGACGATCAACGGGACTACACGTGACACAGGTGAACGTGTTCGCCAACACACCATGTGGGTCCTCCGTTTCGCCTGTCCCTCAACTGGTTCTATCGATCAGCGCCATCAGCAAGAACCCGTGAACGGAATTAATCTAGGGGACCCAAATCGTCAAAGAATCCAGTTAAGCTGAACCTGTAGCCGAAATCACAACGTTCCTCACTGTAGATACCTGCGGTCCGGAGTTTCGCAAATATCTCAGTACCACTGTGATTGTTTCACATGTAGATTATTTCAAGTCTTCCAAGTTAAGAGCGTAAACCAGTTAAGATTAATTTAATGACCGGTCGCTTTAGAAGGATGTTCTTACCCAAGGAGGGAGTTATCAAAGTCTTAACTCGACCACTATCACAAAGAAACTTATAAGTGTTTATGATTAATTCACACTCCTATTCGTAATTTTCTCCTTTTCTTCTCCTGGTTTTTTATTTAGCAACTTTTTGCATGAAAAGTGAATGCATTTTGCTCTATCCAAGTCTTCGTGGAATGTACAGTGAGTACAAATGGATAACTCGTCACCTGAATATTGCTGTGCAAGTGGTTGATGTTGAGTAGTCGATCAAGACATGCGGCGTGTTGGCTTCTGGCAGCTAAGTGCATCGGCGTGTCGCCGTTGGAATTCGGTCGGTTCGCGTCGTTTCCGAGGAAAATCAGCAGACCTTCGAGGATCATTACATGTCCCCTGAATAGGAATCGCTGCAGTCGTCTTAAATCTGAAGCGATTCGTAACCGTACTATTTCGTTCACTGGAAGAAACAGCTCTTTTTCACTTGTCAATGACCGGATGTTCCGTTTGTTCCTTATTTTAATACGTTGATGCTTATAAAAACTTTCAGATATTCTTAGCAAGAAAAATTGTAGAGGAAGATTCCACGCTTTTCGGTCATTGTTATACAGAAAGTTGGAGCCAAAAACAGCTAGTTCTTCAGTGTTCACAATTTATCCCACAAAAAACATCGGACATCGATAAATAGGATTTGTTCCAGTTCCTTAATATTTGTTGAACTCCATTGTTGCGAATATTCTCATCATAGCATCTCCAAATCAATTATCACACAAGGATCACTATCTATGTTTCCTTACAGATTTCCATGAGTCAGGTCACTACCGTATGCTGAAAGTTCCTACACTCAGTACTTAACTCCGAAAAAGTTATTTAAATGCAAACCTCCATGTATCAAATGAAATCTGTCGAAATGAAAAAAATGATTGGTCGTGAACAATTCGTCAATCCAAACTAGTTTTTCGTCCACTAGGGAAATTATTTGCTTAAAGGATTCTCGTTAAAGGATTTTTAAAGGATTCTCTTAAAGGATTCGGGGATTCATTTAGTCATGGAACAAAATTTACCTTTGTGCTGTTCCTTAAAATATCATAACCATCGGTGAGACATGAAATTGTAGAGACAAGGATACTAAGAAATTATTCTGTGGATCGTTGGATTCCTTTGTAAAATGTACAGTTCGAAAAGAAAAAGATCTATTGGTAAGCATGCGCATCTCAATAGATCTTCAATACCAAATGTGGCTTATGAATAGACGACAACATCATTCATGACTCGAGCGAATTAACTAGAGAGCCTGGATTTATTTCTGCATTTGTCGCCATCGTTGGAAGTAACATTTCCACCAATCAGTCCTCATTTTTAAGCCACTAGTGCAGTGGATAGAGACACTGTGAAACAGACGCGCGTTCGTTGGTTCCACCCTTCTCAGGTCAGCTAAGCTTTTTATCCCTTCGGAGTTGAACTTGCTTGGGAAAACTCACTCCGATCTGCAAAGGTTGGAAACCTCCTATGGTGAAGACCAAAGAACGCTCTAGTAGAACTAACTCAGGATTCTAAGAAGAGAAAACTCGACTAGCATTCGACAACATTCTTCTGGAAAATGAAGCCATCACGTGGTAGTCGAAGCAAAACGAAAATTCAAAGGCCTTTGTGGATTACCAATACGAAATAAGCAACCGGATGAAAAAATCCACACAAGATGCGAAATCGCATGGACGCAGACATATAAACAAACAGGAAATAAATCTATGCTAGAACTGACAAATACGCTACTGGAGTAGGCGAACAGAAACCAAAAGCGTTAGCAAACCTGTCGGCAGCGATATGCAGTAAGGTGTTTCCGTTCACATCTGTCACATCGCGTTGAGCTCCAAGAGATAGAAGCGTGACACTCGCCGTCCAGTTACCGGCAGCCACTGCGTACATCAGCGGCGTATAGCCGTTTTCCGACGCAGTGTTCAACTGAAATCGTGCACATTTTGGGAAAAACGTACGACATACAGTAGCCCAATAAGTCTATGAAGGAATCCGCTTTTCAGATCACGAAGAAGACTAGCAGCATACGTTCCACTCTCTCGAACCTCTAATTTTCCACAGTCTTACGGAATTGACAAGCGAAAAAGAGTATGAGGATGTCAAGAAAACACAATGCTCCACATATGTACTCACTTAGTCACAAAAGGAAAAACTTCATCAGCACTTTTATGGAATTTCTAAAACTAATCCGAAATTTTTATGACGGCCCAAAAACCTTAACATCAGTGGATAAACGGTTAATGCTCTCGACGTTGATCAATCCCTCACGGTTATGCATTAGACTTCATTAAGCATCGTTAAATGCGACTGAATGCATATCTGGGCTATATAATGACATGGAGTGGCTTGCAGATTTATCAAGCTAGTGCTCCTATCCTCCCAGACAGATCTAGCACCAATATGCCAAGTCCGGAAGAATGAAAGGCTTGGTGAGCGCTGGACGCGACCAACGAACAAGTGTACCTCGAACTACTGCGTAACGCTGACTTAGCAGTCATATAAAAACACAAGATGAAAAGAAATCTACGAAATCCACGACTTTCAATGAGAAGCCCTACGGTAATCGCAGTCACGTAGCTGTGCGATGTTCCTGGGTGTCGGCCTGCGATGTACAGCTATGCTATTCAACCCCATGGCAGGGTCTCCCAAGCTGAGAAGGTGTCTGGAGTTGCCATCAGGAAGCCCAGTAAACCAATACACCAAGATCCGTTATCGTCCTGGCACCAAAGTAGTTGCATGATGCAAATGTCCCTCTGATCCACAAAGGCGGCCACTGTCTGTGGCGGTGACAACCTAGGGCCTGGCTAACCTCGGGAGTGAACCACAATGGCAAAACCAGCAAAACTTCAGCAAAATGGAGATTGTGCTGGGGCCCGCACAACCAGTGAGAAGGAGCCATCCAAGTATCAAAATAGCCAAGTACATGTTGAATGCTCTGTTCCAAAATCTCCACCTCTAATCTCTAAAACTTGTCAAAAATATAATTTATGTTTTAATTCAACTAAACGTAAATGAAATGTCCAAATGAGCCTTCAAAGGATACATAGTGCTAACATTTGGGAAAAAAACTGTTCCTAAAACATACGCAGAAGAGCTGAAATTACAAATCCAACATTAACTGCCGGACAACCTGTAGCTTTTCATGCAATCATAATAAGGATAAAGGATAAAGCTCTCGACGTTGATCAATCGCTGAGGGTTGCGCCATGCATTCGACTTCATTAAGCATCGTTGCAGGTGATTGAATGAATATTTGACCTTTAGAATGACTCGCGGGCCAATATAACGAACCTGTGTTGCTATTCTCCCAGACAAGTTTAGTATCAATTTGCCGACCTTGGAGGAAAGGAAAGTTTGGTAGGCCATGTGCGCAGGGATTGATTTCACGTGTGTATTCCAGGGCGCCTACGACCATTGAGCCACACGCGCTCCTTCATGTGATCGTAGGTACTGACAATTCAGTTCTTAGATAACTACACCAGATTGAGATAAGTTATGAATAATCAGAATATCAGGAACTCAGGTTAGGAAACTGAGCTAATCCGAGGAAGCTATACGTCAAGAGGACAAACATGTGTAGGACTGACCAAATTTCGCGGTCATCCACACATGAATAACGTCTATGTGCAACAAGCTGATACCTGTTCGAAATGATTCTGCGCCGCCAGAGCGAACAGTGCAGGACCACTCTCGCTGTTCGTCCAGTTTAGGACGGCGGCGATCAGCTGAGTGCCATCGGCAGACACACAACCGCCGCCGTGAAGAAGTCGCGATGCAGACGTGTCGACCGACTGCCGATCAACGTATTCACCGCGCACTTGCAAATTGCCTCCGAAACCGCTATCTGAAAAACCTACACAGAAGTACATTCAGTAAAAAAACCTTCAAATAGTGATGAACCTCTGAATTTCCTGGAAACCAATGAACCTGTGTAAATCGGAAGAAGCGCATCGGAGCGGCGCTCGTCCTGTGACCAGTAGAACATGTGCTGCTTGTTCGCGGATTGAAGATAAAACATTTGATCGTTTCCGTCGGAGTTCATCATAGACCGAATTATCACCAGATGAACATCCTATCAATCATATAACAAACAATGTTGAAAAAGCCACCCAAAATGGACCTTTACACTATCGATTATCTCGTTTTCCTGCTTATCCTTCCAGTATCACAGTCAATAGGGAACTAACGACATTCGCATAAAAAATATCATTTGCTAATGAAAACACCAAAAAAGCAGTTTATTTCATTTTATTTTATTTGGTCCGTATTCGCGTCTACTGTGTGGACCCCAGCACTTCTCACATTCGATTCGTTTCCTCGCATCCATTGTCCACGAAGATCTTCCAACTTTTATCTTTGGCTTCGGTTCCTGTCTGAGTACTTCCTCCTAATCTCGAATATTGTAGAATGCTGGGCGAATTGTTTCTTGCTGGAGTCCTACGATAGCCGGGTTGGAGCATTCCCAATTGGATTGCAGAGAGACCAATTTCCGAACCCGGAGGGATGAGACTCTTGGTTAGCCCGGAGCGGAATCGAACTAACTAGAACCATTCTCGTGATGACGGACATCACTACCATTGTGCTATCTGCCCCCTTAAGAGCCGTTTTAAATTTAGAAATTGTGAAGGCGCATTTCAATTTGAAATTAAATAAGTGGTTTAACATTTACTAAACAGAGTTGTTTGCTATAAGCTCAGGCATAATTTTATATTAGAAAATCTTGACTGGTGGGCTTTCACGCACAAAAATCATTCAATTTCAATAAATTTTATCAATAATACTCGAACGTCGACCCGTAGTCCTTTTCCTATCATGCTTAATTTTCCACCGCACGCAGTATGCACTGAACTCGGCGCATACGGTCCCTGGTTCCATCAAAGGTTACTTTCGTAATTGTGTTTTCAGCTCAATAACCCAGTTTTTCATATATTTCGTCAGTAATCTGCACTTTTCATATACTCTAAAAGAACAAGAAGCGAGACAAGAAAAGACCACTGCGGCGAAGTGAACACTGGGAAAGCAAATCATCTGAAATCAATAGACATGGTCCATTCCCAAAAGTCATGCCATGACATCAATGCATGTAGAGCCGTGAAAGGCTTAAACAGACGAACTGCTGGGTAATCTGGCATGCCAACTTTTAAAAATCTGAACGTATTAATTTTTTCTCATGTATATATAGTATATATAATATATATAGTATGCTATACATATTTTCATATATATATACATATATATATATATGAAAATATGTACAGCATACTATATATATTATATATACTATATATACATGAGATATTCTCCCAACGGTTTACCGCCTCATGGCAGGTGTTCCTGGGTGTAAGACCGCGGTGTACACCGAAGGGGATTCATTTCCTTGGCAAGGTCTCCCAAGCCGATAAGGAGTCCGGCGTTTCCATCAGGAAGCTTAGCTAAGAGTAAAGCAATACCAGGATCCGCCACCGTCCTGGTACCAAACTAGTCGCATAGTAGCAAATCCTCTTCTTATCCACAAAGGCATCGAGTGCCTGTGGTGGTGACGACGGGGAGCAGTCCTTGGCCTGGCTGCCCTCGGGGTTCCAGGGAACCACAATGGCTAAACCAGCAAAACTCCGAAAAAAATTCAGACCATGCTGGGGCCTGCACAGTACGGGGCATCCAAGTATCCAAGTATATACGTACATATATATACATATATATCTATATAAAGTTATATATAAAACAAAGGTGTTAACTATTTCAGAGTCATCTCTTTGCTGCTCCAGTATTGCGTGGTCGCCAATGTAGAAATGAATGCGATGCAGTGGGCGAAGAGCACGAACGTGCCACACGACATCCACGGTCATCTGAAACAAACTGACATACAGGATCTTAAGAACAAAGGAAACGAAATCAGTCGACAACGAACGAGTAAAACTCTCAAAATGTAGCTTTTGCAGCAAAACTAGGCTTATTCTAAGGCACACTTAACCAGCCATGATCGAACTCGATAACACTTTAACAGTAAGATGGATTTTGAACGACTAAGACAAATTAATAGCTTCGTAGTTGACATATAGACGAACGCAAAGGAGTTTCGAAGTAATGCGTATCAACACCACCACTTGATAAAAAAAAATGCAAGAAAAAAGATTCTTGAGGGAAAAAACAAAGAAGAATAGGGAAAGCATTGACCACCAACCAATTCGGTATCATTAAAAGCACGGTAATCATCCTGTCGAAAGAATAGGTAGAACCTTACAGTGGCGCTCTGACAGTCCTCAGAGGTACACGCCACACTACCAACTTTGCCAATTGTCTGAAATACTGATTTTCCGAATAAAAATGAGGACGGTTAGGTGGTCTGTAACACTTATCCTCTCAACAGAAGGATCTCTTTCCAGTGTATCAATGATTTCGAAACTAAGTATTTACATGGGAAGGGGTTAGGACGCGCCTCCAACAAACAAGCTCACCGTCACTCCGGGAGAGACTGGTAGGTTACCCGTGAGTGTACCAGGCTCTCCTCCCTCGATCACGTATTCAGAGCTCAGCAAGCTATACGTGGGTATCAAAAAGCTGAATGCAATAAAATAAATGGCCCTCATTCCCCTGAGCTCGAAAGAGCTCCCGATTCGGCAGCGTTGGGTAGGAAGAGTGCGGAGAGGCTCCTAAAATCTTAGGGCCGCTCTAATCTACTAAATCGAAAGGAACTAAGGTGACGATCTGTACGTACAATTCACGTCCACTTGCATCCGAACCCTCGATAGAGGACTTGATCAGGCATGCAAGAAGAATAAAGGACAACGTCATCGGACTGGCTGAGACGACAAGGCGCTATCCATTTCAACGAGTTCTCTGACAATGGAGAAGAACTGTTTCTCGGAACATGCGACAGTAGAGAAGTCGGCAGCTTCGGCGTTCTCGTCAACACGAGTGAGCAATGATTGAACATCGATTCATTCGAACAATTAGCAACCTGGATCGGACGTTTACAATTGAAGAGATGTAGATCAATACCTGCTTTGACAATCTTCGCCGTCTACACACGGACATCAAGCTTTGACGAGGGTGAAATTGAAGCGTTCTATACGGAAGTGGAGAAATTCTGCAGAGAAGACCATACATTCTTCAGAATAATCACTGAAGATTTTAGCGCTAAGATTGGACCCAGAAGAACGGCTGAAGAAGAGCAAATTGTGACTCACGGATTAGAATAGAAGGAGCAGGTTGAGTGCCTCGTCGGCTTTATCATAACAACCAAGAGCATTCATGCAAACTCACAATTCTTGAAGCCCTGCTCATAACTGTGGATGTGGGATCCTACCAATAAACAGTACCATAACAAAAAAGACCAGATCATAGTAAATCGAAAGCTTTACCTAACCGATGCACCTCTAGTCCCAAAAATATATCCGAGGTCAGGCCATCGCCTTCTTTGTGCAATATTCCAATTTTCGCGAAAAGGAGAGAAAGTTGCTAAGCTCAAAAAGCGAAGTCACAAAACCGTCTTAAACTGGGATTTATTCGGTTCATTAGTCGGCTGTTTGGAAGGTGAAGTTCTTGGTTACATCGACGAGGAATATGATCGTCTCATTCACCACCTTCGCCTTAGCGCGTTAAAAGCTGAAAGTAAAAAAAGTCACCAAGCGACTTTTCTCCAGAAACACGCAAGCTGATACGCCAACGTGGAATCGCACGAGCTGCCGGCAACTTCCACTCACGTCCTAACTTGCAAAACAATGCGGACAGGTGATGAAAAAATATCTTAAAGAGAGAATATCATTAGTTACGGTTTAAGCTGCACATGCTGGGAAAAGGACTTGCAATGCTCACTGAAGGGCGCGCCAATTACAAAACCAAGATGATGGCACTCCAGCGCTCAGACGGAACAGTTACACCTTCCAGAAAGCACATGGAGAGAAGAATTCACAATTACTACTCGGATCTCTTTAATAGCCACGTTCTCCTATGTTCACATGAAATGGAAGAGGATGGATATATCGTGCCAACGGTTCTGCCTTCTGAAATCCGACATCCCATTTCGTCAGTGGACAACAGAATAACACTAGGTCCGGATAAGATAGGGTATGAACATCTGAAGAACATTCCGCATGTCCTCATTAGCACACTGTGTCGGCTCATCACACGTTACTTGTCAGAATGCGAGGTTTTTATTCAGTGGAATACCCGCAAATCTGCGTTGCTGTTCAACAAGGGTGAATCCCATGATATTCGCAACTATGGCTCAATCTGCTTGCTGTCTGTCGTCTACAAATTCTTCACTCAAGTGGTACTAAAGAGGGTTGACAGAACACCGGACGATAGACAGCCATGTAGGAAAGCAGAGTTCCTTTAAGGATTCCGTCTGATGGACCACACCCACACGATAACAAGACTCATTGTAGTACTGCAGGAGTACAGTAGACCGCTCTGTCTCACCTACACCGATTCAAAGAAAGCTTTCGACTCACTTGAGATAGAAGCAGTCATAGAAGCCTTGGACTGCTAGGCGTCTCTACTAGCAAATAAGGATTCTTCGTCAGATATATAAAAATTTCACAACCAACATATCACTGCTCTACAACGATATCAACATCGACGCCAAAAGAAGAGTTAGGTAAGGCGATACTATCTCGCCAAAACTATTTACCGCCACCCTCGACAACGTCATGCGAGAACGAACGTGGACAACACGAGTCTGGAAGTCGTTGGTCGGCAATTACACCATATTCGCTTTGCTGATGAAATCTTTCGTGTAATACCAAACATTACCCAAAAGGAACTAATGCTTGCTGGCTTTGATAAAGCCTGCGAAAAGATCGGCCTTCCAGCAAATCCCACAAAAATGACGTTCATGAACGATGGATTGTTTTTATATGTCCCATTCACGCTCAATGGAATGAATATCTGCGAATGCTCTACTTATGTCTATCTAGGTCGGAAAATCAACTCGATGAACGACTTAGCTCTGGAGTTGAACAGAAGGGAACGAGAGGGTTTTGAACAGCATTGAGGATGCAGTGAAGGGAACATAGAACACCCGACTCCGGGCCCACCTTTTCG